CACACAAGAATATTTCTATTCGCAAGGACTCTTTTATTATGCTTGACATTACTCGGTTAATTCAACCTTCAATTACTTCGACTACCGCTCTCATCGAGAGTCTCGCTGCGACTAACTTAACTAAAACTAAAGTTACCCTATTCTACTCCTATTCTATTCTTAATCTATTTCTATCCTATCTTAATCTATTCTTATCCTATATCTATCCTACTACGTCTACCCTGTTCTTACGCTACGTTTATCCTATTCTTACCCTATATTACTGTCGAGTACCCCTCTCTCCCCAGCGTGAGACGCAGAACCCGTGAGGCCAAACCAAGGGACGACTTTGGGTCCTCACAATATATATACATATATATATGTTTGCAGCAAAACTATCAAAAAATGGTAAATTTTAAGGAAAAATGTTTTCTTTAATTTTTAATAAATTAAATTTTAATTTCAGGTAAGTTTGCTTTTCTTAAATTTATGCTTGAATTTTTCTTCCTCTTGATTTACAAACTAATTGATATAAAAAATGCTGGTCTAATAAAAAGAATTCAATGACCATGAAAGCAATTCTTTAACTTTAATTAACCAGCAGCGGATTTTAAAACATTGGCACTTAACTTCCGATTTTTAATCTTATAACGCGTCCTATAACCATCCTTATCTGCCGTATACATAGTTATTGTCTCGATATCTGTTTTCTCATCGTATACCGTATAAGTACCCATGACTACCAGTTGCTGTTCGGGTGTGCCAGGATTTAATATTATACCCATTTCATCACGTTTACTGCCATTAGGCTCATCTAGGCTTTGAAATCAAAATAAATTCATTGGTTTTAATAAAATGTTTGCAAAGAAACCTATTCTGATATTCATGAATATACCTGAAACGATAACCTTGTTCAGTGGGTGCGAACTTATAAAATTCCTGCATTATTGTTGGAAAAATGTTGTCCAAAATAGCACCAGAAACACAGTACGAAGCCACATTGATAATGAATGAAATTTGCAGCTGCCAAAGGAATTAAGTAATGAATGATTGATTTTTTTTTTTGGTTTTTGCTTTAACAATCTTTGAGATCAGGTCTCTGCCACAAACGAGTTATTGAGTTTAAGTTTTCATCGCATCGATTCATTTTTGAAAAGGCTTGAATAAGCCTTAGAGAAATTTCGTAATTTTTCAAAGTAATTTTTTTCCTGCAGGTATAATTATTATTTCGTATTGAATATCCTCTTAGTTATTTTTGGACCGATCGATTCAATATCTTTTAGTCGCTTTCATATTATATTACATTATTTATACTATTGCATTATGTTAAGTTGTTTCATTAGTTTGGAGATTAGATCGCACTTTTTGCTCTGAAACTCAAATTTTTTATACTTTTCCTACTTATAACCGGTGCACAAGATTTGACATTTAATAGGCAATACTCAATACTTTCCAGAACTAATCGTATTCGACTTACAACCAACGCCAGAAGGCCGCGAAAGTAGCACGCGATCTATGCATTAGAAAATATCATAAATTACTTGAATCGTTATTCAAAGTGATATTCTAAACTTAAGAATAGGTTTTCCAAGTCCAACTATATCAACAATTGAAAATCTCTCCTGGTTCTGCTTGACGCAGTTTTTCTTATCTAAATTGCAATGTTCGATGAGATTTACCTCATAACTAAAAAGATCTTATGCACAGGATTATAAGGAGTAATTTAAAGTAGCGTTACTGTGTCGGTATAAAACAAAGAAATCTGCGTATAAACTGTTAAGACCTAACCTACGGAAGATCATAATGAAACGATACATATTTATTTGGATCAGCAGGTACTTGCACAAGCTCTTACACGCTTATTATCAAATCCTTGGTGTGTGAAATGTCTTTTTGGTTCAAAAATGCATTGCAAGCACGGTGTGCACACGCTAAAATCACTGGAATGCAGAAAGTAAATGAAACCAATATTTAGAGAATTCTATCAGAAGCAATTTGAGATATTCATTCTGAAAGACTTTCATTTCATTTAATCTCTACATGAAACTAATGCATGAATGCTGTAAAGTGTATAGCAAAGATCTCAATCATATCATCAATCACATCACAAGGTCCTGGTTTTCCTGCAAGTAACACAGAGCTAATTGCTGATTTTGCGCCCATCTATAGACGCCAGTTATGACTCGATCGTTCCCTAGCACCCGTTGCCTTAAGGATTCTATTGCAAATAGTGAACGAAAATCTACGAGGAATGTTGACGAATCTTTTCTTTCTTACGTAATTCTCACTTTATTTTATATGAAAAGTAATCCTTAATATTTTTACATGACTTTTTTATGGTTTACAGTTTAAGAAAAGCAACAGAATTAAAGTGTGTCTAGAAATTAATGAGCCAATCTCTTTTCTATTATCTCATTTTTATATTAAATTTTACGATGTTTTTAGTATTCTTTAGATTGGAATTTAATTAAATGTAACTGTTTATATTTTTTAAGTTTCTCGTGTTATTTAACACGATTTCAATTTACACGATTTTTCAACAAACATGTCTATCATACAGGTCACGCGATAATTGTTCATTCTTATATGTAGGAAATATAATTTTAACTAATAAGACTTGAATGCAGAGATTTTTTTAATTTGATAATAAATTCATTTTATATTTTTGTTAGCAAATCGAAACGAGTATAGCAATAACAACAACAACAACAACAACAAAAAAAAGAAAAGAAAAGATATTTGAAAATCGTTTACAATCCATAGCAAAGATTTTGAATGTCACATCACAGAGCCGTGACATCTGTTGTATATAAAAATATCAATCGATAACATCTTGTTCAACTTTTTTACATTATTCATACATTCATTTCAAGGCGACGATTTAATTATACTTTCAAATATTTTAATATGAACGCGTTATGTGGCAGTGCACCCTTTTATGGAATTTAGCGCATTTTTATAACATCTCTGCAGCACTCACCAGTTTTGCAAATGCCATCATACCGTACACTTGAAGATCAAAATTAAGACTAATATTTATGTTTTAAACGAATTAAGTCATTAGTTATGATTTCAAGAATCATCATTTCACACACATACATACGTAGGAACCACCCATTAAAATTAAAACAAAAAGTGACATTCAAAATAATTCTCGTCTTTTAAGACAAAAAAAAAAAAAAAAAAATTGAGAAAAAAAATAGTACAAACTCAAAAAATAAATAAAAATATCCAAGTTAATTTAATAATTACTTAAGCCAAAGACCGGTATAATGCAAAGACATCATCACACATACGCGTGCACCAAATTGATGAGAAGCTTTTACAGCATTATCGCACCGGAATAATGCATTAAAAAAAAAAAAATTCACAATCTTGCGTTTTACAAATATCGACAATAGCACGGTTACTTTAATTATGAATATGCGCAACCCATATGAAACACCGAAACCTTTTCTTGCATAATGCAAAAAAAATTTCTTTCTCTCAAGAAAATGCCTGTAACAACTTATCTTCTCCTCCGTTAGATTGCAAGCTAATAAAAATGTATGTTTTAAGTTAACTCAATTTACACACAAGTTCAGTTTCGCGCAAAAATATAAATTCGCGCAAAAATAGTTCCACGTGTAATTTGTTTAATTACAACTCTATTATCACAAATGTTTTTTTTTTTTGGTTTACTTAGAATTTTTTTTGCAATTATTACTTGAGTATGAGAGAATTCCCAGATCGTAATGATAACTTGAAGAGCTGTAGCAAAATTCGAGTAGATTTTTGACATGAAACTTGCGAACAAAAGAGGCAATTAGATAACTTTTCGCTTCGCTTTCGTAGAAATGATAAGATCTTCTCACTAAATATTCCATGCATGGAGTTTTTGAAGGTACATATGCGATAAATCAATTCAATAAAGTTTTACAAAAAAAAAAAAATTAACATCCGAGGATCCGAAGAGCGAACTCATACAATGCATACGTGAAAACGTTCTGTCTGCGAAATTTTTATTTTGCAGTTCGTTCTATGCTTGATAGATTGCATTGGTCAAGAAAAAAAAAACTTTTCCTATGTAACTTTTGAACGTGCAGTACTTTGGGTAAATTTTCTCAACTTTTTTTTGTTTTTTGTTTTCTAATGTGACCAGTCATCCAGAGGAGGTGTTTTATTCGCCTAACACCGTGACGATCCGTAAGAAGTGAGAAAAGAGATGGAAATAAGGTGGTCGTAGTCGTGGCCGTAGACTAGTGGGTATATGTCCAATATTACGCCTTTAGCGACTGTACACTCTCTATAGCTACGACCAAAATAGACTTTACTGCAATGAAATTTGAACGCGCGGTCATTAAGCTGGTAATTGCTATTAATGCCTACTTGGCTATGCATGCAGACACTCATGTAGATTTACTTAATAAGTCTGTGTCAATTGCAAATATGTATTGTCAAGCTTAGCTCTTCTACAATGTCTCGCGTATGTGGCATCCAAACCACTCTTTGTGCTCACAAGCTAAACGTGTAGATAATTGAAAACTTGGCTTATTAAGATCAATGTCTCCCTGTTCGTCTTCTTCGCAAATTATCACAAGAAACGTAAGTGTTTACGAAAACGTCACAATTTACTAACGTAATGACATGTTTTTCAGCATTAACTTGACAATTTTTTTTTTTCTTTTTCATAAAAGTAAGAACATTTATAAATTTTGTATTTATAGTAAAACGCATTGGAGAAAAACAAGTTTAAATACTACTTTATAATAGTATATAAAATATATCTTTATAAATAAAAAATATAATAATTTTTAAGTAAATGATTGTTAGTTTGAGTTTAAGAAAACTGAAACTGGTACGATTTACTCTTGTCGCAACATTCTGTTCCTTGAAACTGAGAAAAATGCTTTGTACATTTTTCGAGCTCAAACTCACATATATTAATTAATTAATGTATGTATTATAAAATGGAAAATTTATTTTCGGTACAACAACAAAGAATCTTCAGATTTTATAAGAACCATTCATGTATGGTTTAACAAATTTTCGCCATTCATTTTCAGTATTAACGATCGTTTAAAGTATAATAACAATAAGAGACAACTAAAACTTCTATGCAAAAATATTCTTAATCTGATCGTAGACGCTTCCCTAACAAAGAAAGCCCAGAGAAGCGTGAATAGGAATGGGATAAAACTCTACTCCACTAGTTCATAACACTTAATGATCTCTGTGGAGAGTTGAATAAAATTTATAATACTAACACCATTAACTGCGTTTATCGACTAATTAAACTAACTTCGATTTCGATGGATAAGCAAGCCTACCTTTAATCTTCAATTTAACTAAACAAACCCAAGTTCATCCGTAATTCACAAATGTTTCAACAAGTGAACATCTTGTCAATGCCGTCTGAAGAAACTCAAAAAGTCTATCGTATAAACATTTCTTATTCCAATAAGACACACAAATGCAAGGAATGTAGAGACTGTATTTCTATCGTATTCAAGTGAGCTGTTTTCATGCAAATTTCAACGGAACGCTTTCTCTCTTAAAAACACATTTACATTTCATGTGCAATGCTAATAAAAAAGAAGGGGGCAATAAATGTTGTTGTTATGCAAACAAGCTTTTCTGAACCGGTTAATGCTTTCAATCCGTATCTATCTTCAAGCAATGCGTACGAAATCCAGCAACGCTGCATACTTTTTTTATACCGCCTACTTAGCTGAAACGTTTTTACTGTAAATATTCATAAGAGTTTTTATTGCATACGCTAAGGAGAGGTGCTATATTTCCAATCATCATCTATACTGGAAATACTGCTTGTAATCTCTTAATACGCTTATGAAAATGCTTTTTAAAAAATCCAATGCAAAAAAAAAACTACAAATCAATTTCTTATTGCAACCAGAGAAAATTAGTTTTTTTTTTTCTTTCCTTTGTAAACTCCATCATAGAAAACGTTATAAACTTTTGATTAGCAGAAAATTCCCTTAGCAGAACACTCAGTCAGTCTTCTGAAACAAATAACGCATTGCTATTTTCAATCTTCGATCTATTGCGTCGACAAGCAACCTATGTTTTTCGAGATTGCTACCCACAGCAACAGAGAGAAGAACATTTGAATTCCAAAGAAAAAAATGCTAAACTCCAGAACGACCAGATCAACTTTTATGAGATGCAACAATTGTTGGCAATAAATTATAAGGAAATATAGGTGTGCCGATGTTCTAATCTGAATAATCTCAAATTCCCATTTAACGGAAATGGCATAAGTTTTTTCCGCCATTTTTTCGCATTTAACAGTATTGGTATGATTTTTTTCCACCATTTATTGAAAGCAACTCTGTTCTCTCTCTATTCATAACACATGGTACTTTTTTTTTATAAACCATGTAAAGGAAAAAAGAAGAAGAACCGATCTTTTTTGCTTTCATTGAGTGAAGCGAAGTATGTCATACGTTGTTCATTTATAATGCAAATGTATAGGTATTTGCATATGCATTTTGTACCAACATAAGCACAAAAACATATATGAACATATGAAGCATCTATGTATGCGTTGTTTATACAGTTGAAATAATATGGTTACTCAGTTTGAGATAAGTCTTGAAATGGGATTTGGGATCATTTTTGGATTATTAAAATTTTGCCATATCCCCCAACAGTTATCGTAAATATTTAATTAAAGACCATGCAATGACAAAAATGAAAATATGATTTTATGAAGCTTTTAATAGTGGTTTTCTCACTTAAATAGCAATCTTTTCCTTTGAGAGAAACGAAATTCTTTGTCAAAATGAAAAAAAGATCGCACTTATCTAGGGGTTCATGCTGTAATGAAATTCTACTCAAGACCTAATCAGAATTTCTCGTCTTTGTCATCTAATGTTTTTCATTAGTCATATGGAGAATTTTCGTAAGTTTGGCTGACAATTTAGCTGAATATATTACGCGTTTGTCGTAAGTAGAGCACACGAAAAAATTGTGCAAGGGAAGTAATTGCTGAAAAGAATAATAAAATGTCTTTAAAAACAAAAAGAATGTATACGAATAATATTTTTCATTGTTAGAAATAATGAAAAATTTCTTTCGAAAAATAACTGAAGTAATTTCCTTTGTTGTTGTCAGGCAATACTTATCCTACTTTAAATGGTTGCAAATGAAGTTGTCATGATTTTTTTTTGCTTAATAAGGGCATACTGTTTACGTTGAGCGTTTTTTTCTTTCTCTTATCAAAGTGGAGCGCATCGCAATTCATTGCATATCGTTTCTATTTGAAGATAATTTTTGAAAAGAATATATATTTACCGTGTAAATATTAATTATTGCAATTATTTTGAATGTATCTATTAACTGATTGTTCAGTTATATCGTGTAATAATGTATAAAAAAAGTAACTTTCAATTTATTTTATTTTTTTAATATAATTAAGTTAATAGCAATGTTATGTATAAAGTTAATACTATTGCATCATTTTATATCTATATATATATATATATATATATGTGTATGTATAGGTAATCTTATCAAAATACATCGGTTATTTAGAAAAATTATTTTCTCTATTCTCTCATATAAGGATTTTCATATAAAATTCTAATTAGCATCAAAAAAAATCCATCTTATGCCATATGTTTGCTTATACTTCGCACAACATTTTCAATTTTAAATCAATTTTCCATTAATATGTGTAGATAATTTATGTTCAAATATTTCTTTTCATGGGTTCTTGTTCTCTCGATTGATTTATCGATTTAGAGTAAAAAGCACTCAATATTCAAAATAAAAAAAATAAAAATAAAAAAAATAAAAATAAATAAAAACAAAAATTTTTTTTTAAATTAAAAACATATTTAATAAAATGAAAATAAAAACACCCGTAATCCTGGACCCCGTGTTATATTAAAGCATATTATAATTTTATTTCGTATGCATTATTTTGCTTGGGATATATTTATTATTATAACTATGAGAAGGAAAGCCTATAAAATATTTAATATTTATAAATATTTAAAACAAATCACACTCATTGCTAATTAAAACATAATAATGCCTTAAATTTACATCTGCTGCTCACAAGCAATTAGGCAGAGAGATACTTTTTAACAGGAAGAAATGAAACACATGCAACATATATCTTACAACTTTATGACAAAGCTGTGTTCTCTTTTGTTTTTGTTTTTTTTTTTTTTTAATTATATACCAGTGAAAAAGAAAAAACAAAAAAAATAAAAAAATGAAAAACGTGAAAAATAAAAAAAAAAAAAAAAAAAAAAATGAAAAATAAAGATTAAACAGCAAATTAATGTCTACATATATTAGGGATAGCTGGATGCATGTAAAGCTAAATTCCTTGCCATCTGTTGCGGTACATTTGTCAGACAATTGTTGGCTGAAATTGTTATAGTTGCGGCATTGTTGTTGCCAACATTTACTTTAGCATTGGCACAACTATCCTCGCGTACAACATCGCCTACAATCACTTTGCACATGACCGTTTTGACTTCGGCAAGGAAGTCGGTTAGGTAACATCATGTGGGTCGTGGTGGTGCTGGTTGACTTTTACGATGTGTTGGCGGAGGCGGGGGTGCACTACGCATACGTGGTACTGGCTTCACTTCTAACGGTTTCGGTAACGGTGGTTTCAGTTGAGGTTGACTTGCTGTTATTGCTGTCTCGGAATTTGATGTTTTCACACACATCTTATTACTCTCCTGCTCCACTGAATGTGATTTTGTTAATCTAGGTTGTGTGGTTATTACTGCTGCTGTTGTTGCTGTTGCCGCTGTTGCTGTTGCTACTGTTGATGCGGTTGCAATACCTCTATTCTCCATTAATTTTTTAGCATTGAGTGTAATAACCTCATCTTCTGCTTCGGATGATACCGAATCATAAGGGGACGGCGAACGCGAATGAGCTGAGTAAATGTCTTCCTCTTCTTGTTCCTGATCCTGAATTAACGTGCGAAACTCTTGTATAGAATCATTGAGGGCCCACAATTGCGATAGCAGCGATATATCTAATTGACGGAGTCCGAACTGTAAAAGTGATTAAGAGAGAAAGAATGTCATTGTCAATTGAAGCAAAACATACCCAAATATAATATTATTGTTACAAATTGCATTCATACCTCCTATAAATAGTATTTTGATAGAACTTTAACCAAACGGAGCTTTTTTCCTGCTTATGGCTACACTTGTTATTCCCTACACCGCTTGTAGTGTAGGGTATGTTAACATGTTGGGATAGACCCAGCTTTAGAATCACTTCCTGAATCGATTTATGCTTGTCTGTCTGTCTGTTTGTTTACATGTTTTTGTGTTGAAAGTACAGGTCGCCAGTTTCGGAATGTTTTGATGAAATTTCGTACACTAACACCGCATTTGTTAAATTCACACTCAACTAAACGCCACGTAAAAAAATTATCGAATATTACATGTCTTTTAATCATTTTCTTTTTTTTAAACTCAACATTCGAAAAGGTCGAATTGTTCTACGGAGCAACTCTTGTGCCAATTAAAGTAACATTCACGAAAAGTAACATTTCAAAAAAAGTCCACAAAAACTTCCGAGCAACATCATGGAGAAGCCGCATGTCGCAAGCATGTGTCTTCTTTGTGACTTTCGTGTCTTAATGAACTTATTTTACAAGAAAATCGATTTTAAAGAGTCTTATGTCAATTACTGTCTTGGCACACTAATCGCAAATTTGATTGACAAAGTCACAAAAACTGTGACAAGGAAAACATATTGTTTTCCTTTATGGCTAATGAACGATCGCAATGATAGAATATGACTGTATGGTTGTAGGTGGACATTGATATTGATTGTAATTGCGATTTCATTGTGCACAAGCCTTAGAGAACGAGTCTGTAATTTCTCCTTATGAAGAGAGAATGTATTATATTAATTAATGACAAAATAAAAAATGCTCATCATACAACAACTAAGTGTAACTACGTACTACTACACTAACATTGTATATTAGTTTCAATTTTTTTGATATTATACTTTATCGGATAGACACATAAAAATATCGATACTTGTACGCGTGGTTACACCATCACATATTAAGCTCAACACACCAAAATGATGATGAATATAAGGAATTAACTAAACGTTAAAAAATGTTGTGATACTTGAATTTTTAAATTCAAAACAAACAAAATGTCGGTATTAATGTCAAATTTGCAAAAAAAAAAAAAATATATATATATATACATATATTTACATAAATATAATAAAACCACAAAATATATATGAGAGACCAGTTTCTTACTCAAACAGAAATTCTGTTCACTTTGTAGTAGAAAATCAAGCGAATGCAATTAAAAATAACGATTATTATTAGTAATCATGACATTATTTTAGGAAAGATAAATAATAAAAAAAAAATTAAAACCAGAGCCACGAATTATAAAACATTAAGGCTATTCACCTGAATATATCAAAAAAGAGCGAGAGAGACAGAGAGGGAGAGAGAAAAAAAAGAATTTAGTATTCATACTACACTAACGCTCGTGCATGTAGTTGTATATTATTTCATATAGTACTTAAAAACGGGTAAGAAAGTTATATTCCGGTTAAGATAAAAATTTGATATTAATGAAATGTATATATTTAAAAAAAAAAAAAAACGCCAAATGATTTTGTTGTTTTGTTGTCTTGTTGTGGGCTTGTCAACTGACAGATTGGGATAAATTTTTTTTTCGTCTTATAACCTTTTATATAACTTGCTTTCCTGTTAGCCTAGAAACTTTCAATCGATATTTCGAGCACTTATGCGGGAATATTGCGCACATCTTTAGCTATGATGACAATGTATGGTAGATATGGTCAGAGTCAGTTTTAAACGTGGCGGAGTCTTCTGTAGAACGAATTAATTTTTTCTTACCAATCCAGTCGACATAATTATCAAATAAAGGAATCCGGGGAATAAAATTTGACACGATAAGATTGTGTGTAGGACTTGCACAGCGAGTTGCAATAGATTAAAAAATAAAAATACTATTTATAGTGAGTTGAAAGTTTGAAAGTAAATTTTGTCTCATTTACTTTATGTGACAGTTTGAAGCGTTTAGAAAATAGAAATACCTCAGCCGTTCATAGCTCAAAGCGATTAACTTACTTGTTATACGTAGAATGCCTTCAACAATATTCAAACTGAAAATTCCACATGATAACAACTTTTATGCCCACTGAATAACAAGAAATCTGTTATATATTTTTTATCCTTTAATTATTGGAGCAAAGGCGTTTATGCTGATCATATGTTACAGGAATCCGCCTTACAAGAATCCATGCTATAGAGGGGCGCAGTTTTCGTCATAATAGTTAAGAAGAGAACCGAACAGTCCAGCTTTGTTGATGAATGCACTTGTTAGCGCCTAAGCTGCACCACAGAAATCGCACAAATTAAGATCTTGACAATCTTGACCAGTCAAGGTGCAATTTGTAGACCTGTTCACGAAAACTAATAATTCGTTTTAAATCTTCTAAGACTGCTGAGTCTATTGCTCACGGGAACTAAATGAAAAGCTCGCAACTGAAGAGTAGATGTATGTGCTCTCCTCTCGCGGCGATAAACTTTTCTAGAACCTTACAAAAGGCAAGTTGCAGAAAATGGATCCTTCATAAGAAAAAGTAATTGAGAACCTATTGCGTAGAGTAAGAAGAATTTTCTAGGTTACACACGAACTAACCTAAGAAGTCGTTAAGGCCAATATAGATGACTTGCTCCATTTTAAGATAGAAAGATAAGGGAAAACAGTAGATAATATAATGTAAACAACTGTAGCTTGAGTGTTCTAACTTTCGTGGCGAAAGATGATCTTCCATCAAAATTACATCTCGGCTGCATCGGCAATAAGTAACAACATGCATAAGTTGTATGCGCCGGAAATTCGAACATTTTACTATCATTTTTTAAAATCATTTGATCGGAGATATAATGTGAATTCAATGGAATCGACTTGAGTCGGTATGGGTAGAAAAACATTTTTCCTCAGATACCCGTCAGCTTTGTGAAACAAGTTTATATGAAAAAGTTTTCTAACAATAAGCGAAAAACACACGAGCATGATAAAAAAAAAAAAAAATAATTATTTGTGAGATAACCTAGTATTTATGATATTTGTAAAGACTTGCTTGCTTGGTTTATTTTCAAAGGAATTTTTTGTCGTTTTTCAAGCACACAAACACACGCATACGTAAATGTGTCGTTTAACTTAATTACTTTTTGATTTTTTTATTTTTTTTTTTTTTTTTTGTTTTTTATTATTTTGTTGGTAATAAAAGAAAAACTAAATAATGTCAAATTGAAAATTAATTGAACTTAATTACGAACAATATCTCTTTTAATGCGACCGATATAATGGCTAAAGCGCTAAACTCTCTAATGAAAAATATCTAACACAACTTTCGTGCATACGAAAGCATGTGTGCGTGTGTGTGTGTGTATGTGTGTGAAGAGTATCGTGCAAAAAGAAAATGAATATAAACTGTAAAATGTGAGGCAAATGAAATGAGATTTTAATGATCACATAATAAACTTCATTATTTTATGGCACGCATTTGCGACATTGATTGTCTACACCATAATTTTATAATCCTTGCATATATAACTACTAACGCACACGCATATAGTTCATATGGGCTATGTCTGAGTTGAAGTTGGAATTTTCCCAAATTAAACGAATATTAACTTTCATTATAATGCAGATATATATATATATATATATGTATATATATATATATATATAAACATTTTGATGACCTTAACCAATTAACAACTTAGCTGCACTGCAGTGCTATTATGGAATTCTTATATATGCGAAATGTGTTTTCAATAACGTTTTACCATTAATGCAGATTTCATTCAAAATTCTATGCAACGCCAATGAAATATATGACACAGCATGTTATAAATTTTTTTTTTCTTTTTTTTTTTGTATGCATTAGGCATTATGTGTATACATACATATATATATGTATATGTGTGTGTGTACGTTCTAATTGTTTTTAAATGTAAACGAATGCGGCGAAAAGACCTCATTTGACTATGAAAGCCAATTTGGAATTATTGATTTTAGATTTGGTTTTTTAATAACATTAAATAAAAGTTTTTGTTTTTCTTTTTCTTTTTCTTTCTTTCTTTCATTCATTATTCTCTCTCTCTCTTTCTCTCTCTCTCTCTCTCTTTCTGTGTGTATTCATTTTTATGAGGTTTCATTTTATATGAACGAAAGAAAGCATACATGCATGAATTTAATGTCATCATGAACTAGGATTAAAATGCAATCGAAAACTAAATAAAAATCTTTTATCTTCGAAAACCTTTAACGCAAATTTTATATATGTTTAGTGCAATGCGTCCGAGTGTAGTAATTACTTAAGTGTCTCAGTTTATATAGTCTGATTTCATATATATTCTTCTTATCCTCCAATTGTTGTGAAAAGAAGAAGTAAACTTTTTTTTCATGCCCGTTATCACCCTAATGACTATACCAACGACTTTTTAAACTCAGGCGTTATATGACAAGTGAACGTCGAAAAAGGAGTCCAACCCGAACAATTTTGAATAGCATGCGTCCTTAGGCAAAAACACACACCAAATTTCATCAAAGTACCTCGAAAATGGCGACTAGTACCTCCAAGACAAGGATATATAGATAGACAGATAGACAGAGAATTAATTACCAAATTTCTTCAAGATAACGCAGATAATGGCCTAGGCAGGTAAACGTGCTTCGATCGTTTCAGAAAGTGTTGCGCACAACCATAGAAACCGAGTATACTCGAGTATGCAAAAGTACCACAACGCCGTCAACATTATATTCGAAATTTTATTTTAACATCTAAAGGAAAGATGTTTCTCTTCTTCTATTATCTATCAACTTTACCTTTTCTGCCTTAAGTTATGTTATTAATTAAAGGCAAAAACATCTTTTCAGCTCCTTGCTGTGTACATGATTTCGCATATGGTTTTTAAATCTGTCTAACTTCGAATATGACGCAACCACGACATTTGTATATTCGC